CTATGGCATGAGGGTTTTCTTCATCCCAAATGTGACTGTTACGGCTATTAAAATAACCGTCCTTTGTAAAACAGGACTCGTCAGTGAACAAAACGTAGCGACCAAAGTTTGGTTGCCTCAACTCCTGCTGCAGCCACCAACGACAAAAACGTCGACGCGGCAGATAGTCTGCTGGACCCATGGCTTGGACTTTTAAAAGGTGGTACGGGTGTACGATAACAAAAATGTAAACACAGCAGGCTTTTTCTACAAACCGGCGAGACCATGAAATGTGCTAGACGAACATTTTGCAGCTGGTGAATTTTTTGTTTCTCCTATGAGCTCTTAAGGTAAAATTAACTGTAGTGCTCAAACGGCATATTTACGAACAGGGGTTTATAAGGCAAAATTGCATATTTTTATGCCCTCTACAACCCCTATCATTTTGTCGCAATAATTATGGAACACCCTGTATAACACATTCGAGTATTGACTGTAATAGTTGGTAGTATAGTTTAGATGAAATATTTAGTTTTTTCAAGCTGGGGCACAATGTCTCTTTGAAGCTTTCAAATTGAGTTAGTCGATGTATGCTAGGCCATAAACATGCGCTATTGTCGCACAAAAGATTGGATCAATCATTCTCCATAGAAGTTCCCATTTTCCCCAGTTTGGATCAAAGAAGTCGTATTCATGTTTTAGCTCGTCTCCAGCCTTGCCTTCAGATTTTGATATCTACATCTTGCTTTTTAATCCAGGTTGTTGTGAAGAAATGAAGTTGATGAACTATGTGCATAGCCTTTTGTTGACAACAGCAATGAAATATCTGAGTTTTGTCCAGTTGTTGGCAAATCCTCGTTCAGTACAGTGTCTTACGATATGGATTATGCTTTTAAATCAGTGAGGGACCAAAATTACACAAGCATTGCTGACAGAATTGATGGCAGGAGGATTGTTGATTTGGGCCATATTTTGTCGTATAACGTAAAGTGGTCATGTCATAAAGTTACATTTTTTTTGTGAAAATTGTAAGAAAGCTATGGTTATATAATCAGAGATAAACAATAACATGAAAAACACTGTTAATTCTGCAGCAGTTTGGGGGAGCATATCAACTGGCATAGGTCACCTTCAATATGAGGAATTTATGGCAATTTTAGACGTTCCCTCTATGACCACTCGAACTTTTCGGACAGAAACTGAGAATGTCAAGAAGGTATGTTGTATATAGGATAGCTCATGGAGAACAAAAAGAAGTTATGCAAAACAGAATATGTATTAGTTCAAAATTTTTATATGCTACTGTAATCAAAAGTCCAATCCTTAAGGGGAACTTTACTTTAGCTAATCAATAGCTACACGCATCTCAACTTCAGGATTAGTCCTTACAACTGTGAACATTTTTTCATTATTTACCTAAGGAGATATAAGTATTCTCATTAGAGTAATGCACTTAATAATTTTCAAGATATGTACTCTGTACTTTCAATTTTGGCGTAACGTGAACAACATATCATTTAGGAATTAAATTTGAAAATAAAAAAGCCAAGAACGTTTGAGGTACAAAGGTACAAATTCTCCAAGTTGGCAATTTGACCATGAAAACATTTGATTGTTTATTTTGTAGTTGTGTGGTTATCGATCCCTAAACCTAATTAGATAAATGCTAATTAAAACGTTTACCCGATAACTCAAATGAAAGCTACAGCTAAAGACCCAATAATTTTCACCTGACTATAGATATTATTCCAAACGAAACGTCGTTCAGCTCAAATCGTATAGGCAATGAAAGTACGACATAAACCCTTCATAACACCTAGCCTGTCTGCATAACCCATCAAATATTATTTGCATTTCCATCAAGGTATGGGAAGAATTTCTTGCGGACGATTTGAAAGCTACTGGCAAAGAGGAGAAGTCAGTTGCAATTGAGAAAGGTCATGTTATGCCAGATGGCACTCCATATATTACTGTTATCGCTGATGGTGGATGGAGTAAGAGGATCTATGGTCATGGGTATAATGCGTCTTCGGAAGTAGTAAGTTTTTTGGGGGGGCGAAAGTGGGATCATTTTTTGTATTGCTCTTCAATATATGTTTGGCCATCACATACGGTAGTAAACAAATCCTGGGGCCCTGACTCTGATTACTAGAAAACAGAGGGCCCCAGGATTGGGTTACTACCTTATGTGATGCCCAATTATATATTGAAGAGCAAGAAAAAAATAGTCCCGCTTTCCCGTGCCGCTATCTGCAATTTTCCCTTTATTTTTATTGACAATACATAATACAGTAAGTACCCAGTACAGTAATTGCCTTCCGGACTTCATTGGGGTAAACCGCTTGGTGGGTCATTAGAATATAACAAATAGCAACGATTTATAGGAAAAAATCCTGGACCCAACTCGATTTTGGAAAATTACGATTTTTTGTATATACACCATGTAAAGTGTCCTACGGGTTGAAAAACTATGTTCCGAGGCACACCCGCAAAACTGCTTTCTGTCCTGCTAGAGTAGCATAATTCTACGAGATACATAAAAAAAAACTAAACCTAAATCGCTTTTCGTAGTGTTTGATATTAAAATTGAGGTAGGGCATTTTTGGGGGGGCTATAGGCCACGCACCACGATATTGATTGTCATTATTTTTCCAACATTTTGATTTTTTTCATCCTCCCCAATTTGGAATTCCTCTCGGGGAGAGGGGGTATACTCGATCAATACATAAAATAAACAAATTTACTGGAAAACCACATCGATTTTTCTAAAATTCGTGCACTCCGCGTTTCTGATCGCGCTCGATCGATCGGTTCTTCAACCACTTTTTCTAGTGGAAAATATTTTATTATCAATATACAGCTTACGTTTTAAAACTGTGCTAACAGTCCAGCATTCAGGAAGGTATTGAAAACTCATAGCTACTGACCATGATATAACGAATCGAGTAATATAATTTCTGTACAAAAAATTGCATGCATTGGCATTCAATACATGGGCCATTAGGACACTTAGTTTTGTATTCTTACCAGGGCTCGGTAAGTTCCTATAGGTGAAATACGTCCTCTACGAGAGGCCAACACACCAACGCTTTGTGGAGGAGCATGAGGCTAGAGTACTTAACAGCCTCAAACTTCGGTGCTGTTATTAAAAGGAGATCTACCACACCGTGCCACCACCTCGTGAAGAATCTACTTTATACGATTGAAAATTTAAATACACCATCTATCCTATATGGTAGGGTACATGAGGCTACTGCGAGGAGGAGGTATGAAGAACAGATGGGATTATCCGTTGAGCAGTGCGTCTGTCAAACTACATTCATGAATTCGCTTCCACATCTTTTGTTCATTAGTGTTGAGCGTCATGTCCGTATACGGGTTTGTTTATATTAGTAGCGCCTGAACATAAAATGAGTCACGTGTGAGAACTTGACAAATACCGCCCTATTTCTATCTGGCCTATATTTCACGTCTTATTCGAAATCAATGGCTTGATTAGCGACAATTAGTTCGGATCCAGAAAAGGCAACTGTAAATCTTCAGTTGTAGTGCAACTTGTGCAGTATGTTAAGCAGTACACGTGTTTTAACAATAGAGAGTTTGCAATGGTCCTGCCGCTCTCCTAAAATTTTTTGTTTCTCTTCTATAGAAATATATTGTCCGTGCATTAATTTCACCACCTTGCATTTTATCTTGCTAACTTGGACCTTTAAAGAAAATAAAGTAGAAGGGTCGTTCCTTGAAATCACTATAAATTTTTTTTATGATGGACCATAAAATATATGGAAAGAAACGTTAGTCAACGGAACACGTTGCACGCCAGTGCAAGTGCAGGATCTCCTTGAATTCGACAGGACGCTCGCGCTCCGACTTTGTCAGTTCAAAGAGACGCCTCGCATGTTTCCTACAGAGCATTTAACAAAAAAATTCGAGGAATAGCTATGCTCTGGTATTCAACGCACGAAATAAAGTCACATTATCCTCTCACAAAACCCACCAAGGATATCAAATATACAAAAAGGGATCAAGGGTAATAAAATTCAAATTGGTTTCACCATCACCATCGTACTTTGAACTTCAAGTGACCGTACAAGTCAAGGAATTATTTGGAATACGAACGATATGATGTAGAAAAAATGTTGTCACATATATTGAATACCAATAGGCCCCAGCCCAACACAAGTTCTAGATACGCCACTGAAATTATGTATCATTGTTTCACTGACTTGTTTATAATTCTTAACTTGTGATTCGTGGATTTATTCTTGTGACAATTTATTTAGTCAACATATTTTTGGTATATCATAACTGAGTCATAAGGACCACGCAATCAAAAGTAATTCTCTTCTTAGTTTTAACATAACTGTTGGGAATTGTGAGTGTAATGTAACTATAGATACAATGTAATTTTTTATAGATTAATAAACTGAACTGTTGATAGCAGGTACATAATTTTCCTAAAACGCTTTTATCGATACTGAACTTTCTACAGCGCTACCGGAGCTGCCGCGTCTCGTCGTTGGTTTTCGTGTTTGGACAGTGAAGCATATCATTGGCATGCCCATAATACACTGGCTGCGTCTCGGCTCTCCCTTCTCTAATGGATGATTCCGATGCATCGTCGCCGGCCGATCCGGTACGCCAAGAAACAATGCATCGGAATCACCCTCGTCTGGGGTATGCGATCACGGTATGAACTGGATAACACTGGCAACATCCAAGGGTCCAACTGAACACACCATGTACAACTGGGCGTGAACAATGCTTTTATTATCATTTCGAACCTGTCCTGAGATCTATCGGATATTCCTGTCACCAGAGCATTGCTCCCATCGCCTTAAAATCGCTTTCTAGTTGCACCACGCCGTCTCGTGGGCATACGCCACCATGTAGGCGTATGCCCGTGTAGGGAAAGTAACCTGTATACGATATTTGGAGGCGCCTATTTTTCCTGTATCTCAAGTTGTAAATTGGCGGTGGCGGGAATGCAGTCATGGGTTATCAAAGAGAAAAATAAACAGTGTACATTTACAAAATATTATTGATACTCAAAATATAAAATCTTCACATTATTGTTACAATTAAGGCACCACAGTAGTCTTTCGGTAGCTGAAATGGAAAAAATAAGCGAATAATAAGTAGTGAGGGTTAAACGTGACCCATCAGGAACCAAAACAGTAACATAAACCTAAAATAATAATAAAATAATATAACATTCATTAAACTTATGAAATGCATAAAAAAATAAAATGTACATGGAATCATAACGATATCAGATGAACATGTAATGGATAAACTTAGTCCTTTTGTAGAAGGGTAACCAACTCTTCAAAAGTTTCTCGTAAAGCTTGGATGAAGTCGGAGCCGTTTTGGTATGGTGGATAGCTGGTTACCAACACACCCAGCTCGTCATCTTTGATGATGTACCTGAAAAATTATCAGTTACACCAAAAAGTAAATATATCAAGAGAAGAAAGGCGAACAAATAAGAGAATTATACAGGGAAAACCAAATTTGTTTGACGTTTCGAGTTCAATGTGTACGAAAGAGAAGCGCGAGAAGTGTGTATCAACAGATGTTAGAAAGAGATAGAAGCCAGCTTCACCAGAAAATGTTCACACAGAATGCTAGGTTAGGTACTGTCAAACCCAAGAAGCCCGTCTGTTCGAACATTTAATTTAGATATATTGTTTTCATTTTATTTAGAATTATTTATTTCAATTTTAATGCAACTTAGTGTTTTAATTTATTTCAGAATTCTTTCTTTTCCACCGATGGTAAATAAATCAACATATCATGAGTTATTGTTACATTTTGCGACAGCAAGCGGTCGGAAAATGTAACAAATACCATTACGCAATACAAATTATCACTGCCTGCGTGTACGCAGATGCAAACCATTTCAAAGCAGGACGACACTCCCGAATGTGCGCTAGATGGGTAGTGACCAACATCGCTCAATTGTTGAGTAAATGTTAAAACAGTATTAAAAACCGCCGTGAAACTATTTTGGATTTTTGCTCTACGAACGTTCTTACGACTACCTTCTAAAGCAAAATATTTCTTAAAATTGTAATTCTCGTACAGGCAATGTTAATAAAACAAAATTGCGTTCTAATAGTAGTAGTAATAAAACAATTTAAAATAAAATATCATGGAAAGTTGAAAATTTGCTAGTTGGGTGATCTTTTCTTGGAAGGTTGATGCCATGTTTAAGAATTAAAACCATTTTCTTCAAAAGATAACTGGAGTATTCGTTAAACAATGATATCAACCAGTATAGGTGTCTTTGACCAGATTTTTGGGAAAATATTACTTCGTCTTACCCCACACCAAGTCCATCTTTGACAACGGGACCAAATCCCCCAGCATAGATAGCTGGCGAATTCAATGTACTTGTGGAAAGTATGATATGATTCAAATACACGTATCCAGGATCCTCGAAAATATTGCTTTGCATGTTATTCTTCTCAGCCAGTTTCTTCAAAGCAAACAGATGTCTGTCAAAGCCCTGGCCCATTGCTGCTTCTCTGGTTAGTTGGCTGTGAACTCTAGAGCATTCAGATATCATGCTCTTCAATTCTGATGTAGAAGGTTTGTTCTGAGAGGTAACTGCTAGAGTGAAAGCCTGGAATTCAGAAAATATTAATCCAGAAGTAGAAGTTTCTGTTGAGTTTCAGCATTGATGGAAATATTCCACCAGCCGAAATAAACATATGTAATGTGGCACCCGGCACTGTCAACCACTTATGCTTACAACTTTATACAGGGTGGCCAATATATAACTGACTGGTTTAAATTGCGCGCCATATTCTTAAAACGTTTTACTTAAATAATGAGTCGATTGTTTAAACGATTCGGAAGCTACGACAAGATTTTGATCGAAATAATGTGCCCAGTGTCAACACCATTCGTGAGATGGTGCCAAAATTTGAACAAACAGGTGAAGTTAAAGACTTGCCAAGGTCTGACCGTGTTCGTACACCGGAAAATATCGAGAAAATTCGTAAAAGTGTAGCGGAGCGCCCTGAGACGTCGCACGTCATTACAAACTATTTTAACAAAAGACTTGCATTTGCGGCCATACAAAATTTAGTTAAAACCAAGAAGGACAGCCTAGTGACCATGAAAGTCGCCGACAATACAGTCATGCAATATTGCAGCTTAATACCAAAAATAACGATTTTAATCGACAACTGATAATGGGCGACGAAGCCCACTTCGATATGAACGGATTTGTTAATAAGCAGAATTGTCGTATCTGGGCATTAGAGAACCCTCGTGTCATCCATCAACGACCCCTACATCCTCGTCGAGTCACAGTTTGGTGCCTTGTTTGGTTTGGAGGTGTCATTGGACTTTACTTCTTTAGAGACGCTGGAGGTAATTCTCTTACTGTCACTGGCGAGCGCTACTGTGATATGGTGCAAAACTTTCTGGCTCCTCAAATCCAACAATATAACCCGCAAAACATGTGGTTCTAGCAGGCCAGAGCAACTTGTCACAGCTGGTCATCGGTTTTAACGGCTCCTGACTTTTTATGGGGATTTTTGAAAAGTAGGGTTTATGCCAACAAACCAAATACTGTACAGCAGCTGAAGAACAATATTATGGAAGCGATTGAAAATATTCCTCCCGAAACCTACCAAAAAGTGATGGAAAATGTAATCAGGAGGGCTCAGATTTGCGCGGATTCTTGAGGCGGACATTTGTCTGATATTATTTTTCACACATAATTTCTAAGTTTCAATAAAATATTAAGATGAAAAAAATGGATGTATTATATTTCATTTCACAAATATTCATGATACAAACCAGTCAGTTACATATCGGCCACCCTGTATCTGTCAACCTCTGCCTTGCCACATCTCGAACTGTGGCTGAACGTTATAGGACTTCCTTTTCTAATGTTGAGAAGTTCTGGCAATACAAACTCTTAGGAATAATTACGAGAGGTTGAGAGATGATCTTTCCTTGGAATGATGATGTCATGTTTAAGAGTAAACAACTTTCATTAAAAAGAATCCAAGTATCAATAGGTCTTTGCACAAGGTAAACAAATCTACGCGGCCCTGAATGATAACGTCTGGGAAAGCGATCTGGATACACTCGCGAAGCCTCTGTAGCATTTTGAAGACACTCGCCATAAATCAAAAACAATAAAATCATGTTCGATATTGCTCGTATGAACGTGCCATTTTGGTGTTTCCTCGAAACGATGGGTAAATAAATGTTTTGTTTACCTACGCTGCTGGCGCTCAGGTTGACTAGGGCAGTTCTGGATGTACGAAGTTCGACAGGGTAGAAGTACAAGACAGCTAGGTCGCCGACGGCCCGCCGGTGTGAAAAGGACCCGAGACTATCAGAGTTATCTATCAGTCGGACAGTAGTTGGGGCGGCAGCAACCCAAGCATGTAAGCAATACTCGAGGCTAGGTCTTACATAGCCTAGAGTGCCACTATTGAAGAAATGTGTTCGTGTCAGATCAAGTCCTGGGTGATCTGGACACGGACCAGTCGAAATTAACGGTTCCTTGGTAGAACTCGACCATCCAACGAAACCGGATGAGCGCTAGGACGCCTTTTGTTCGTCAAGGTACAGTACTCTGTTTTGGAAGTATTGAATTGTACAAGATTGTTGCGTCCCAAGCAGAGATTCAGATGTCTCGTGGAAGACGAAGTCGCTGCTAGTCTTTTTCCCCCAGCTCATCGGCAGAGATTAGCTAGTCACTCTTAATTCCCGCATGTAGAGTGCTGTCATCAGCAAAGCTGTGGTTTGGATTGATCATACAGAAAAGAAGGTCGTTGATATGTAAGTGGAACAGTGTCGGAGCCAAGACCAATCCCTGGGGAACACCCGTGTTAACGTTGTGGGATAAAGAGGAGATTCCGACAATGACGACGGATATCTTGCGACCAGAGAGAAAGTCAGCCACCCATCTGCAAATCCTCTCCGGGTGCCATAAGATGGAAGTTTGCATAAGAGGGCAGCATGCCACTGCTGATCAATGTTGGTCTAAAAATCGGCACTTGGCAATAGGTTCGAAAATGTGTTGTTTTATATTTTACTGGTGATGATTTGATCTTACCTTAGTAGCCATGGTGCAGGGTCTGACAGTCTCAGTTCTACCATGTTTGAAAGCTGCAGTGCTACAAGATTCATATGATGGCACAAACTTCCCAGTCATCCGATAATACCCAACCTAGAACGTAAAATTCTTTAAATAAAAGTTAGATTATATTGTGATATTGACCTGAAAGCCCAGTTGCATCACAGCATCGGGACTAACAGCTTGTTTCTTGCACACGTTCTTGCCGATTCTGTCAAATATCAGATAGTCGATATCGAGACTTTTGCACCTTTTGGCATATTCTGCTTTAGCTTCTTTGATGCACTGCTTCATCTTTTCTGTCACATTGATCTCTACAAAAACATTCTACAGGTAGTGCTAAGTGTATTAAAGTGTCCCAAACTGGACCCCATCCCCAAAACCGGATTCCTTGGTCTCATATTCCATTGTGGCCAAGTGTGAATATTAGTTTAGGTATCTGCCAGACAATGACAATGATGCCATTCATCAGCAATAACATAAAAAAGTAACAATAAACATGAAAAATATATACACCAGATTAATAAAACAGTCACTGTTTTGGATCAAGAACCATTTTATTTTCATTTTGAAAGGCTCGTCATTAAAGAGCTTGTGCTTATCTGGAATTGTAATATAGAATTAAGTTCACAATTATGTGTTTTGATTGTAGAAAGGTGCTACAATTTTCATTTACAGGTAAGCTTTCATGCCTGCGAGGTCTGTAAATTAAGTGATGAGACTGGCAACGTTGCATTCTTGGAAAAGACAGGAGAACATGTGATCCGCCTTCAGGAGTTCAGTACTCGCTCGGGTCGTTTAGTTGTTCCGTAGCGATTTCTTTTTTTGTGAAACAGTTTTTCCTATTGAGTTCTAAAAATGAGTGACATCAATTTCAAGCAACAGTGTACTATAAGGTTTGGCTTTGGGCACAGTGCAACAGAAACTCTTGCTAAACAGGCCTACACAGATAGTATTTTGTCAAAATCCCAGGTTTTTTGGTGGTTTAAGCCATTTTCAGAAGGGAGAGAGGTGATTAAAGATGGACCACGAAGCGGGAGGGCTTCATCTTCAAGAACCGATAAGAATATTGACAGAATCCGGGATCTTGTACGTTCAGATAGTCGGTCGACAATCAGAATGATTAGAGAATAGTTCAATTTGATTCACACCACTGTTCATCAGATCAAGAACAAGTGGGTGTTGCATCATGACAAATGTTCCTTGTCATACAGCAATGTCAATAAACAAGTTTTTGGCCAGTAAAAACATTTCTGTGGCAGCGCAGTCTCCTTATTCGCCTGACATGAATCCTTGTGAGGAGTGGAAAAACAGTCTCCAGCGCTGTGTGGCTTCAGAAGGAAGTTATTCAGAGGTTGACAATATAAAATTGTAATTATATTTGATAAAAAATTAAAATAATCAGTCTCACATCCATTTGGGAAAAAACCTGTCTCATCACTTAACAGACCTTGCATATAATTTCTTGAATGGCAGAATCAAAGGCGCATCGTTCTCATAAAATTGTTTTATTTAGATGTTTGATTGAAATTTTATTGCATAAATAAGTTTATGGTTTAGCCACACAAAGTGGATCTCTTTCAGTTGTGAAATCCCCTCTCAAGATATTAGTGGAAGAAGCTAATAAAAGCAATTGGAGTTCTTCTAAAGCTATTGATACCTTTAGAGATAAGAAGATTGCATACAAGATGACAGGAACCATTAGAAAATAACTTTGTATACTATTAAAACACATTTCTAGCTAATGTTCATATTTTTTCAATCAACAGCAAGAGACCGGTTTTGGACACTTCATGTATCCTCATTTTAGATAAAGAAGCTGCTTTACCTAGTCGGACAATGTCTTTTTCTTGATCATATGGTTTTGTGTCAGGATGCACATAAGGTTTCTCTTTAGAATCCTTATAAATATCTTGAACATATCTTAATACAGCTACTCCATCACCCCAAGCATGTTCAAAATTAACTGCAGCATGCCCATCCTTTGATACAAGCAATGAAATGGATTTGTCGAACCATCTGTAATAAAACAGTAATTCTTGTTTGTTGTTGATCTTATGGATACTAGCCAACATGCAGTTTTACCCATAAAAGATTTTGATACTTGGGTTTTGGCTAAAGTACCATTCATAAAGTATGGTCTACTCTTGGTCTAGTTTTTTAGGTCAGCTCTATGCCTAGAATTTTGGTAGACCCAGTCTAGTTCTGGTTTTGGCAATCAGGTCTGCATGGAGCCTAAACATAGGTAAGCCTACGTCAGATCTAGCTCTAGTCTAGGTTTGGTTTAGGCCTAGTGTATGTCTAGTTTACATTTAGTACAAACTGGTTTAGGACTAGTCTAGGTCTGGTTCAATATAGGTCTGATCTAAGTTTCTCCTAATTTTGAGATCTAAGACAAGTACGCGTCTAGCCAAAATCTGATCTAGTACTAAGACAAGTCTTGACTTAACTTATGTATCTAGGCCTAGCCTTGGTCTGGTATAAGTTATGACTAGTCTGGGTCTAAGTCTAGCCTTGATCTGGCTTAATCTAATCTTAGAAGAAATGAAAAAGTGGAATTAAAGGATAATAAGAAAATTGTGAAAATTTAAAAACTAATTTATACCTATTGCACCCATCTCCATGAAGGAAGCTTCGGATCATCTTGTAAGGATCATCATCCAGCTTGTCAGAATCCAAGCAAACATTGAACAAAGCAGAATCAATCAGTTTGAAAGTCTGTTCATTCTTATCTTGCTGAAGTTCATGTCTTAGAGTTGCCCATTTATTGCGCTCCATAGTTGTCAAAATTCCTATAGGATATTCACATTCTGGAATATCATCTTCCATAATAAGTTTCAGTCTTGCAAGAATTTGTTCAGGAGGTAGGATATCATGATTGTCAGATAATACTCTAACTGCATAAATATGACCTTTGTGCTGTACTGTGATATGTCTCCCATTTCGATTGGTAAATAGCCTGTCTTTGTCAGTTTCTGGAATTCTTGTTGTGTGAAACAAGTTTGGATATTGGCTCATGTCTAAAGGATAAGCTTTCATAAGATATGCCCCATACCAGGAAAGTGATGGAGGAAGAGAGCTACATATTGTTCGAAATCTTTCTGTATCACTTTTCTTGGGGTTTATATGGAAGACTTCTGGCTCCAAAATTCCAGTTCTTAGAGAGTTGTAAAAGCGTAGTGAGCTTATTATCAAATTAGAAGTTCTGACCAACTGATCCATATATTCAGGTCTCTCATCCATATGCATTACTAATACTGGGTTGTAGTTTACTGGAATGGGTTTGCGGTCTCTCAGATAGTAGTCAAACCAAAATTCAGAAATATAACTGCTACTCTTGTTTGCTTTGTCATAATCTTTCAGCATACTTTGCAATGTTTTACCAGAGGTATTCTTGAACTGGTTTACATTGGACTCTGTTTTTCTGTAGGCTTCATCAATCAATAAAGGTCTTTGTGCTGCTAAGTATCGTTCGCATGTGAGTTCCATTTTGGGTATTGGCAGATGAGGCAAAGATTTCTGGAAATGCATGGTTGGAATTCGGCTGTGTTGGATAAACTGGTAGTCAGCATACTCTGGAGGGATTATTTTATTTTTAATCAGCTTATAGATCACTTGTGGCGGCTGATGGTAAGTTAACAAGTCGACTTTCTGTCTCAGCATTTTTGTAGCTCTGACGAGACCTGTGTTGTTTTCCGAATGCAATTTTCGCTCTTGACTAAACTAGAATTGTTATAACAATAATCACATTTCCATGGTAACAACAATGCTAATAGCTGAATTATAAACTGCACATTTTTTTCACACTGACTCCCTACTTGATCAACTAAAATGTAAATTCAACTATGAAAAGAATTATTTGCATGTTTAGTTTACATGCTATGTCAGCGAAATCAACAAGCATCGAATGCGCTATAAACGAATCAACAGGTTAAAGGCGACGTAGAGGAAAATCAAATAAAGAGGACTACAAAACAAAAGTGTACAAAGAACTTCTGTCAGCTGTCAGACACAACCGCTCAGAACACACAACTGTCAGTAAGAAATTCCGAATTCTCGATGCATGTTCGATATGGCTTTGCATCTACGAAGTGTTATCAGGGCCCTACAGGATGCTTCCAACGTTGTTTACAACGTTCGACACCCCACAATTGGCAAGTGTGTCTCCTACACGATGGGATGAACTTTTTAGTCTCGGACGTTCAACGCATGGTGGTGCCCACGTCTATTATCGGTGTCAGTGTCGCGCTTGAACCTTTAAAACTGAAGTAGAAATTATACAAAATAAACGATGAAACAATTTTTTCGAACGCCGAGAAACAATTTCAGATCTGTCCTCAGCTACCAAAACTTAAGTCTGTCAGAGGCCTCAAAAAAGTCTAAAAACGAAGTTTGACAGATTTTTGTTTGTTTTTCGACGATAGCTCCACCGCCACTGACCCGATTTTCAAAAATTGCAGAGCTTTTTCGTCATTTTCATATTGGTAACCTAGGGTCAAAATTTTATCAAAATCGTGATAGTACTTTCAGAGTTATCACTTATATAATCTTTTTCGTTAGTTAAGAATTGGAAGTCAATATATTTCTCAACTAGCCTTGCGTTGCAACAGGACATTATAATGAAACAACTGTAAGCACTTGATAATTTACTAAAATACATATCCTTAGGCCAGCCATAACTCACCTGCGGTACGTACAAAATATTAGCAATATGAAAAAAGTGTTATGGCAGCCTATGCTTTATATGTATACTAATTTAATCTATTCTCCTCAAAAGTTAGCTACGGAACATACATGTTATGAATAGGTATGTATTCAAATCAAAATACTTTCCACATACCAGTACTCCACCACAATCACAGCCAACAAATAAATGATGTTTGTCGCCGCTACTGGTTCTAACCTAAAACCATCAAACACCTGACATCTGGTGTGGGAGCGTAACGAACCATGCTTCCCAAGTTGTAACGTCCTTTAACGCGGGTGAAATTTACCGACAAGAGCCAGAACGTGTCATGTGGCGAACGTTGGACACATGCAATCCGTGAGCACTCTCCCACACAATGTGGCGAATGGCCATGTGTCCAACGTTGTAAGGCATTCGCCACATCGTGTGGGAGCAGATTTATTTGATTCTATCAGAGCTAGTGTGGCCTAAGCCCAAAATGATAGTTTTGAGAAAAACGCAATTTAAATTTTCCATTTTTTTGTTTCTTTTTGAATTCGGTATTTTTGTTTTAATTTAATTTTTTTCTCGGCAACAGTTTTTATACGATGTCGTATTTTAAATGTTATTTATATATTCTGGAAAAAACGCTATTTGGCAAAAAAATGTGGTTTAGGCCACTCTTGAATTAACGATAAATTGTCATTGTGTAAGGAAATCAGTTGATTCGGTGGGATAGGTCATTGCTGAAAAAATTACTGGACAGTCAGTAAAAAACAAACGATTTTAAAAAAGTAATTTTTATTAGTGTCTTAACAAAAGAAATAATAACTAATTTTCGCATTCACTTTCATTGCTATCAGAATAAATCTCATCGTCTTGATCATGGGTTGTTTTCACGTTTTTATAGAATTCGATATCAATAGGGGAAATAAAACATTTTTTTTATACCGGAGCAGCCGCGCAGACAGAAGCCTAAAGGTCGGGACTCCGCGGTTGCTAAAATGATGATGCTAAAGAAATTTTGTTAATACGATTTTTGAACTGCCTAAGGTTAGTAGAACTGGAAAAAGCTTCCTCTTGTAGATTGTTCCACAACCTCGACACCCTTGGGACAAAGGAGCAGTCGTATCGGCCAGTTCTGGATGTACGAAGTTCGATACGGTTATGATGGGAGGCCAGTCAGGCGGGTCTGTCTGGCGGGCACATCGCGCGGCGGCATCATGGAAGATAGCTCTGAGGAGCAAAACCCGTTGGTATAGCGGTAGGAAAGAGCTGGATCGCCGACGACCCGAGACTGTCTGTTAGAGAAGAGTCATCGATCAGTCGGACCGCCCTCCTCTGGACAGCATCGAGCATGAATAATGTAGTCGGGGCGGCAACACCCCAAACGTGTGAGCAATACTGTAGGCTAGGCCTTATCTGGGCCTTGCATAGAGTGAGAAGCAGCTGCCGCTATTGACGAGATGTGTTCGTGCCAGATCAGGTCTTCGGTGATCTGGACTCCGACCAGCCGAAATCAATGGCTCTTTGGCAGAACTCGGCCATCCATCGAAATCGAATGAGCGCTAGGACTCTTTTTGCTCGTCAAAGTACAGTACTGTGTTTTGGAAGCATTAAACTGTTGCGTCCCCAGGTCTCGTCAGAGAGGAAGTAGTCCCCAGTCTTCTTTTTCTAGCTCAGTGGCAGAGATCGGCTTGTCATTCTGAATTCCTGCAAGTAGAGTGCTGTCATCAGCGAAGCTGTGGATTGGGTTGATCGTGTAGGAAAGGAGGTCGTTGATATGTAAGAGGAACAGTATCGGAGCCAAGACCGATCCCTGGAAACACCCGCGTTGACGTTGTGGGATGAAGAGGAGAATCCGTCAATTACAACGGATATCTTGCGGCCAGAGACAAAGTCGGCGAACTATCTATAGAGCTTTTCTGGAAGGCCATAAAATGGAAGTTTGCTTAAGAGGGCAGCGTACCACAGCTGATCGAACGCATTCGTGATGTCAAGAGCAACGACATGAGCCTCACCATAAGACTGGATGGAGTTTACTCCACAATTACGTGACATAAGCTAGGAGGTCCCCTGTGGATCGCTGGTGCCGGAAACCAACCGGCCTGTCGCTAATCAAGCAGTGACGTTCGAGGTAGTCCAGAAGCTCGCGATTTATGCACCTCTCCATCACCTTACTTATAACAGAAAGCAGAGCTGTAGGCCTCTGTTGTTGTAAGGGTCGGTTTCAGATCCTTTTTTCGGGATGGGTTTGACAAGAGCAAATTTCCAGTTTTCTGGGAAGGTGCCGGATTCATACGATATCTGGAAGAGACGCGAAAGAACTGGAGCAAGCTCCGCTGCACACCTCTTCAGTACCATGGCAAGAATCAAGTCCGGATCAGAAGCTTTGTTGTTGTCTAGCGACAAGAGCACTCGTCTTACAGTTTTATGCTTGAATGTTAACTTCCGCATAGTATAGTGAACAATTTGAATTGACGGCACTTGGGCGTAGGGGGGACGTCAATGGTGGAGTTGGTAGGAAAGATCTTGGCAAGCACTTCCGCCTTGGCCTTTGATCCGGATACAATCGTTCCATCCTGACACGTTACTGGTGGAAGGCTACTGTGTGAGAAGTTCTTTTCAATCTGCTTGGCCAGCGTCCAGAAAGATCGACTGCCATTGCGCTGCGACTTTACCCTGTGCCTAAATTTTATTTCGTGCTGGTTTTTTGGTACTGCGAACCGCTTCGTTATATTTGTTTCTGCACTCGACGTCGGCTTGTTTGTTCTCTACAGTGGGGTTTTGTAAGAAGGTTCTGTGTGCCTTGATCTTCTGCTGGCGTGCAGTGTTACAAAATTGGTTAAACCAGTTGTTGGACCCTGGTTTAGTCACTTTCACTTTGTGAGGGATGTATTCCTCCATTCTGTTATGGATAATTTCAGTTATCGAAGAACATACAGCCGACGCGTCTGCGTCTGTGAAACAGACATATCTCCGAGGAAAGTTAGAGAAGGCATGTCCGTAATGCCAAATTTTGCGGCCTGTACGAGTTTCTGCTGCCACAGCGGGCTCTGACCGAAACCTAACCTCCACAACACCGCGGTCTGAGTTACCCAGGGGGGCAGGACAGCAGTGCTGTAAAGGACAGTATGCGTGGTCAGAAAGAGATCCAGCAGGTTACTGGCATGTGAAGAGACGCGGGAGAAAAAAGTAGGGCTCGTCACCAGCTGGGTTAGCCCTTGAGTTAGACCGAAGGCTTCGACTGCACGACCTGCTGCATCGGTCTTATTTGAGCTCAACCAAAGCTCATTATGGGCATTGAAATTACCGAGAAGAACTACCTCTGAAGCGGGGTAATTGAAAAGTCGATCTGGACGGCGAGGTATTCAAGTAGGAGGTCATCCCAGTTATGTTCCGAGGGAGAGCGATGGAGGCATCAAATACATTTGGGGGATGTTTTGGAGTTGAGGCGAAACCACAGAATGTGCTTTCGGTCTGATTCCAAAGAAACATCTCTGGAACATGAAAGACTGCTGCGGACAAAAGCCACAACTCCCCCGCTCTTTCTCAGATTAAAGTGCACCTCGTAATTTGGGAAGCTAAGATGGTTTATCGGTGCAGACTCTGAGATTTTTGTCTCCGCCAAGGAAAGCATGGCGGGACGATTGGATTGCAAGTAGTGATGAACAGCATCGATATTGCTGTTAATCCCGCAGATGTTGGTGAAACAAATTTTATCTGTTCCCTCGAGCCCACCCTCCACCCGGACATTCCGATAGTGGAGTGAGTTTAAGTCCGGAGTTCTTAGTGCTCGAGGGATCCATCATCATTAATTTCTTTATTTTGGAAGATAACCGACTGCATAGCTTAGGTGTGGAAACAAACGGACATTTATAAGATACCCTGGAAAAAGCTAGCGGGTGGTACCGCCTCGGTCGACTGGTCTTTGTCTACCAATTTGTTTTTGTGTGTTACTGATATTAAATAGACCTAAAGTGGCCCGTTGGCGGACTCGTACCGAAACCCGGCAATCGGAAGCATTTGCCACGGCCCCGCTCAGTAGGGATGAGCCAATAGCTCCTTTTTCTTTTTGATATAAACTTTACGCCCTTTTGCATATAACAGATTCAGCTCTTCAAAACTGTTAGAAGAGTTTCTTTTAGACACGTCAACTGAATCAATTGTCATATTGCGTTTCCACTTGTTTTTATTTCTTATGCGCTTTCGAGAACTCTTCTGCTGCTCTGCATCATTTTCAATGTGTTGGGGCTCAGCGCCAAACTCAATGGGCATGATGTTTAGCTCCGAGATAAAGTCAGACTCACTTAGAAGATATTCAGAGACTGAATCTTGAAACGGTTCATCGGGATCTTCCTCAGATCCTAAAACAAAAACAAAATTATTTACGTTATGCTAAGCGATTTTTATCATTTTGATGTTTTTACTTGCTTTTGCGCATTTAATTCAATGCCTACAATAGACAAAAGACAAAAGTACTTATCAAAAATTGAATGGATACTTTTTTAAGTTAAGATCATTGGTAATGACTCGGAAACAGAACAGAGAAACAGAGGGTATTTAAAATGAAAAAGCTAGTGGAAAATAGCTTCATAACACTTTTCATAATTTTTGAATGTTAGACCACTTACCTCTGAATGTATACGATGTGGAAGCCATACTTATTGATTGATATTGTTTGATTATACTGGTATATACCACGTTTATACTAAAATTATAAAGCAACAGTGGCATATCGCACAAGTTGTGGCTTAGACCGGTGCTGCTCTCTAGTTGAAACTTTTTAATGCAATGCAAAAACAGATTAGGTGGTGCCATCTCTTCAAATGTTGTCAAAGGTAGCATAGGGCATAGGCCTATTTTACCCTAAAATATACCTTAAGAAGTGATTATTTCTGTATCAAACTCAATTCTGTATATTTGTGGCTTAGGCCATTCTTGCTCTCATAGCCTCATTTAACATATCATTTTTTTCATAGATAGGTCTTTGAAAATTCTCTCATATAGAAAACCGCAAGGCATTATACTCTACAAAAAATATACACTGAAAAAGGTACAGTCCCCTGCTATTGATAGGACAACAGTGTTGATTTAAGTCAGTGCCAAGCCCATGTCAAGCCTATTCTTTTCTGTATGTCACATAGTCGCCAGATTGTCCATGATCGCCACATGCGATGTTGCCGTCTATTTGCATAAATCTGAGACTGTTGTATAATGTTATAGTGTACATTTCTGATGATATATGGAAGATTTTATAACGACATGTGTTATTAACACATTTTTGCTGTTTTGACAAATGATTAGTCATTTATATGTTACAGTAGCAGCGTCAATAATACAGGCTATCATAAAATCATCCATATACTCTACAGTTATTTGAAATTTAGTAAAAAATATATACTTGAGAATATATTTTTATCTAAATTTTATATTGTATGAACATATCAATAATATTTATGGTCCAAATATTTTCATTCCTGGGTCTTTGTGACCATACATTTGATTAGCTATGATAATTTTGACACTGTCATGATAGTTTGGATTAAAAAAATTATCAGAGTGAATCAAGTATATCATCACAAGGCGCCATCAAAATCAATTTCAACGGTCGAAACTCATTTAGAATCAGGCCCCAGGCCCCCACGTCAACAAAAAATGGAGGGAAGGGGATTAACAAGTGGCACTTGACATAAGGGATGATTTACATTTGACAATAACAAAGCGACAATCATGCAGCGTTGCCAGTATTAATATATCGTATATAGGGCAAAGCTTCTTGGGCAGTGGCGCACGGCGAATTCCAAGCACACAAAAATATTTACCCTATAATTTCAACACGAAAACCTAAATATGTAGATATAACGAACCTATTAAAGTATGTTGAACTGAAAATTGTGCTATCAAAAAAGGTTGGACGAAAATAAATATTTTTTAATGAATATAGATACCTTAAGATGTCAACAGTGAAACAAATATTCCCTTTTATAGACCGCACGCCAGGCCGTTAGCCCGTAGCGATTGGGTCTTACAAACAAATCTTGTATACCTTTGGGATAACTTTGTGCATGTAGACTATCTGCTCCTCGGCGTCTTTTAATTAATGCTTGTTGAAAACATTGACCAAATAATAATCTTTTTTATTCTAACCGTGGACAAAAAAATAGAGAGAAAATAAAACGTTGAATATGGGAACACAGTTACTATATAAAACACTGATCAGGAGCGTAGAATTTAGTAAGCGTGCACACTTCAACGTCCCAACTCAGCATAATTGCGTCTAGGACTGGTCAGAATTACATCAGGATATCACAATTACAGACCATGCAAAGTTTATTAAAAGAACTGTACATTCTACTTATAGATGCCATATCTGAAATGTTTCTCTTGCAGTGTGGGTTGTAAAAAGGTACATTGTAGCGTGTAACTTTTTCAAGTGCGGCAAAATTAATTTCAAATGTTAAGTCTGGGCAGTCCAACTTATTATTAATTAAGTTGTAAAGTGTCATAATTGAATAATTGAATTAATGAGTTGTGCGGCAAATCCATTTCAGGGTAGTTTGTCCCTCCAGCGCTGGCCGTTGCCTGATGAAGGAGTCGTTTGCACCTTTTTTTATGTGCTACACAGTGTCCACAGAGAATTCGCTTATTTTACCCTACATTTTATATGACTATTCCAAATCTCTCGACTTTTGGATTTTCATACCGTATGAATTTCGAGTGCATCCTAACCGATAGTGATTATGTGAAAACATACTTTTCAGGGAGATGAGGGTCTATTTATATGTGAAAAAATGTTTTTCCTATCTTAATGTTTTTCCTAACTTTACAACTTGACTGACGCTGTTTTTTTGAAAATCCCCAAGTATCTAAGCCTACCGGCGTCTGAAGAGTCGTCCGCCACATTCGTCAACCATGCTCGCTCTTCGCATTGGGCTTATTCATCAGTGACGAACAGTGAGGAATATTGAAAAAAACCTGTTAATTGTGGGAAATATCATTGGAATTAACCACAAAAATATGTAAACACACAGTTCGATATACTTAGAACGTTGCCAATTAATTGTCCAAAAATTACCTGAAGACATCAAAAATAAAGATGAATGCCAAACAACAGTCTAAATTGAAAAACCTACGTCTGTGAAAATGAATAAAGATAATAATAGCTATATTCACCTACAAGCTGATGATTCTGAAGACAACCCTGTTACGCAGGAAGAAATACTATCAGATGAACAATCCAAGAATAATGAGCTGAGTGAAATCATTGTAAAATTAAAAGACAAAACAGGAAAACTATCTAATGAGCTTGTGAATAAGAAAAAACCATTAACCATCTAAAAGCTCTGATAGAAAAGTTAAAATCTGAGCCAAAGATGTTATCGGAGTGTGGATTGTAAACCGACACTGTGGACAAGACTGAAGCGCACACGCAAACACCTGATCCATCACCATATAGGAAACCAGCGTGCGGGAACAAACCAACTGATGAAAGCTCATCATATACTAACAGTCTTATTCAATGTTCAATCGACTTAACCGATACCAGTGGCCTGGAGAGTGAAGTCGAGTGTCCTACTGACGAGGTACTGTTGGAGCCTTGTACCGAACAACCGGCTGCCCTACCATCACCAGCAGCAACAAATAAAAACAACCCAAACAACCGTAGGAAGATACTTGTTTTTGGTGACGAGTATGCCAGGAACTTCAGAAAAGTTCGAGAACTGTACATTGACAAATCCAGGTTTACCATTGAGTCCGATGTAAAGCCAAATATCGTGTTTGTAATGGCGACCAAGGATATATTCACGAAAACAATACCTTATGGAAAAGACGACTTTGTAATTTTCATGATTAAGACCCAAAATATTAATAGTTCCTATTGTTTAAACAAGGGTTTATGCAACCTTCTACCACTTGGCCGCACTACCAACTTAATATTTCTGTACGAATTAAGTTCATACCGCGATAATAACCTTATAAATAGAATAAATTCCAAAGTTACCACTTATAGGAAATTTAACGGAAGAATGTCAATATCGCTCACCTATGACAATCGCATGAAAGGTTCAAAACAGAGCATTGCAGGATATGTTCATGATAAACTGAGCAACCCATATAAAAATAATACCACGTTGATCACAATTAATACTGAATCAGTACTATGTCATAAGCGGTTTTTTCTTGAAAGACAAAGATCATAGCTTAATAAATGTTAGCGTTTCAAATAATGTATTGTATACAAGTTTAGTAATAAGATATAACAAGAGCTAATAATAAATGCATGGTAAACTTGCTGCATCTTAATATACAGAGCCTACGACAAAAGGTTAACGATATAGCGTTATTAGGTTTTGAACACAGTTATGATGTAATTTGCTTAAATGAACACTGGTACAATGACGAAATTAAATACGTTAATATAAAGGGTTATAAATCCATTTCTAATTTTAGCAGAGAGGAAAAAATTCATGGAGGTGTTGCCATATATGTAAAAACGGACTCAAATGCTTCACCTTTACGCACTTCATGTCTGATAGAAGCCGAAGAATTGACCTTTGAAGTTGCAGGCATATATTTTGATAAACTTCAGATTATCACTATATACAGATCTCCTGCAGGTAACTTCAATAGACTTATAAATAAGCTATGTATTACATTAGACGAGCTTGACTATAAGAAGCATGTGGTTGTAATCGGAGATTTTAATGTTAAATTTGGTAGCAATAATGAGCGGGCAAACCAAGTTATTGACGTGTTTAGCTGTTATGGAATGCAACATATGATCAGGGACAGTACAAGAGGGTCGCATTGCTTAGATAACATTTTTACGCACATCCAAGGCAGCTTTTTTCTCAAAACGAATATTTTTGATACTTACTTTTCGGATCACCTGGGAATCGAGTTTTGTTGTTTCCAACCTAGTAAAAAAGCTTCAAAAGGGTTAGTTATCGGCCAATTACTGATACTGGTCTTTTTCTACTTTACAGCAGCTTGGAAAGTACTGGCTGGCAGTTTGTAAATGATGCAAATCTAAACGTGGAGTTGAAGTTTGAGCTGTTCATACGTGTTATGACCGATGGGATGGATAAATGTCTACCAGAGAAAACACGCGTTTTCCAAAATAAACAGAAACAAGTCCAATGGTTTGACAATGAGTTACGTGGCATGCGCGATCACTTAAATATCTTGATAGATTTGCACAAGATGGATTCATCAACTGTAACCAAATCCGAAATAAATTGCCTGAAATCCAAGTAAAGAGCTGAAATAGTAAAACGTAAGCAAGATGCACACGATGTGTATATAAACACATCGAATAATAAACAACAAGCGATGTAGGATATGTATTATAAAAACTAATGCAGTTCCTGTCGATAAAAAAAATACCACAACACTAAACGCTAACCAGTTTAATTCATTTTTCACCACCGTTGTTAATAACCTCTTAGAAAGTTTAATGTCACATGGCACTTCACCACTAAACTATATGGATAATCATAGTAGAAATAATAAATTTGCTTTTCGAGATGTTACCTACAATGAAGTTAGGGATGCGATTAATTCTATTAAAAACTCTAAAAGCACCGACGTATATAAACTTAATAGTAAAATTGTAAAATCGATATCAAACGTAACTATTTACCCGCTTACCAAGCTTATCAATATGTGTTTAAAATCAAATATTTTCCCCGCAGCTCTAAAAATATCCAGGGTAATTCCTATATACACTTTGAAGTTGAGTCATTAATTTTCAGATAATGATTGTAGAAGGAAGATGAACCAAAATATGTGTGTAAAAATAAAATAGAAATTAAAAATAAAATGTTACCTTGTTTTATAAAGTATCCTCCCGACAAGTATTTCAGTGCGGACCTGGATTTGATCGTGCGGTCTTGGAGCACGGCATGCCCTCCCCTGTGAGGTCTTAAGTCACCTGATTCACGAGCCCTTTGCATAAATCCGTGATGCCGCGTAAATAAGAATCATGTCCACAAGTTCAGCATTTTCGTAACCATGTGCCATTTTTGATTTCGTTTGAGCCACGCAACAGACACCAGTATTCACTCACGCGTTACCGACTGACACTGACTGTATCCAACTGAATAAAATAATTGTAAAAACATCGTTCCAAATTCTTTCGCTTTTTTGTTTCCGATGCGATGAACCGATAAGGCGGATTATATCCGTTGTTGCCAAACACGAGCACATAATATTATTATTGAGACAGGGCGGTACTCAAACTTCCAAAGGGCTATAACTTTGTTACTTTAATTTTACCAGAAAAATGGCAAAGGAAAAAAACATTTCTTTTGATCAGATCTACTCACTGTTAAAATAAATGACTGAACTTCGAAGTCACCCTGTATAAGGACGGGTCTGTTGACGAATTTTCGAACCACCGTCCTATATCATTGGTACCCTACTTCGCGAAAATCTTTGAAAGTATACTCAAGGACCAACTGAGCAATTATCTCGAAACCAACAATTTCCTAAATTCTCAGCAATATGGCTTTAGAACAGGCTTATCAACCATTACTGCAATAAACAGTTTTATTGAAATTGAACACGAAGGATTTGAAAATAAGAAATATAGGTGTATAAAGGCAAATTTCTTCGATCTGAGCAAGGCCTTCGATTGTGTACAGCATGATATACTTCTTTCAAAGCTACCGTATTATTCAATCGATCCTTCCGCTGGAGTCCTCCTGAAACCTATTTAGAACAAAGGCAACAGCTCGTCGAATACAATGGCTGCACATCGTGAGTCAGCACAGTTTTACATGGCGTGCCACAAGGATCTATCCTTGGCCCTTTGCTATTCTTACTCTATAGAAATGACCTACCAAATTGTCTTCTTAAAAGTATGAACAGTAAGCTCATTCTTTATGCTGATGACACCACTCATCTGATCTCAGCCCACCACTCATATAGAAACATCAACAGCGAAATGACAGCCAGTATATCTAGCATTCAGAATTGGTTTATAGCTAATAAATTAACATTAAATTCAAAAAAATCTCAATCCTTGACAATCACACTTCGTAATAATTATCAGAATGGTGACCACGCACAGCACACAAGCCTCCATGAAACTCAGTCATATAATACCCGGAACCAAGACAACTTGCACCCAAAACAACATAGACTTGCTAAAACAAGGAATGGAGTTAACTACCATGGCATAAAATTTTATAATATTTTACCTAACTAAGATCACTAGCATGCAATGAATTCAGTAATGCTGTGAAAAAATTGCTCTTGTCGGCTGCTTTTTCCACCATTGACGAGTTCCTCAAACACAACTTCTCCACGGATACTCAATAGTTATATTTCAAGCTACATTTCCTTTTTTTGCTTCTTATTCAAACCATGTATAAAATATTTATAACAGTTTTATCTCTTATGCAATATTTATTGATTTTAACGTAGTTTGTAATAATTTTATCTTTTACAATTTTTATTGTCATCCTTTTAACCATATTTATGTGTGTGTAATCTGTAGTGTTTGTCATTTATTTTCTTCTTGTAACTGAGCACTTCTATTATATTGACTTTTGTGTAAGCACGTTCTGTGTAATGGCACCAATAAACCATTATTATTATTATTATTATTATTATCAGTAGCGACAAAAGCGAGATATATTGATGGAGTCGATCGATCTTACATGTCAAGATCCGTCTCCCCAAAGTCTTCCAACCCCGAAAAAGACAATGGTTCAACAGACAAAAAAAGCCCTCCGCGCTTTCATCGCTTGTTGTCTCCAGATATTCCATGGTAGTGTAGAAACCGAAGGAACACTGAAGGGGCCCCTACCTATTCTATCCTGTCACTCATTGACCTAAATTTTCTCGAAGCTATGTGTATTGACCCGGTCAATTCAAGACATAATCAACAGCCTACCGAGGATAAAAGGGCTAGTCAACATCCTTCACAAAATGTCTCAATTCACACTAACAAACCGGTTGTATAAGGGACTTATACCTTATACAACCAGTAGGTTTATCGGCTGTAAACCCTACACCAATAAGAAAACCCTAAATGCACTTACATTTCAGCAAACTGCTCTAGTCCCTGGAACAAGTAGAAACAGTACGAGTATACAAGTACAACGTTATTAAAATTCTCACTCTCACACTTCGGGCAGGTATGGTCCAAGATCTGGCTTTCCAAAGTCGTCTTCCAACCCCGAAAAATACAATGGTTCTACTAGAAATATAGCTTTCCGTCCTTCCACAGCTTGTTATGTCCAGCTATCCTAAGGTAGTCTCAAACTCAAAATAATACTGAAGGTGTTATATCCTATTTGATTCATCCCGGCCGTCCCCAACAACTTCTCTGAGTGTGTAATGCTCCGATCAATTCAAGACATAGCCAAGAGGATTACCGAGCATAAAAAGGCTAGCCAACTTCTTTCGCAAAAATACACACTCCACACTTACAAACTGGTTGTGTAAGGTTTTCTAATAAACTCAAGTGCGTATTTTAAGGGGAGAATGTCTTTGGGGCTCAAGACCAACCCCCTTCCCCTACAAACTACTCGGCCTAATTTGCCCTTATACTTTGAAGTTGAGCCATTAATTTTCAGATAATGATTGTTGAAGGAAGATAAACCAAAATATGTGTGTAAAAATAAAAAAAATTAAAAAAAATGTTACCTTGTTTTATAAAGTATCCTCCCGACAAGTATTTCAGTGCGGATCTGTATTTGATCGTGCGGTCTTGGAGCACCGGCATGCCCTCCCCTGTGAGGTCTTAAGTCACCTGATTCACGTGCCCTTTGTACTACATTAACAAAGGCACGAGGGGCTGGTTGCACTCGATTGGGAAACCGATCCGCACAAATCCGTGATGCCGCGGCAGCATTTTGTAAATAAGAATCATGTCCACAAGTTCAGCATTTTCGTAAACATGTGCCATTTTTTATTTCGTTTGAGCCACGCAACACCTCTATTCACTCACGCGTTATCGACTGACACACTGACTGAATACGACTGAATGAAATTGTAGTGAAAACATAAGCGTTTCAAATTCTTTCGCTTTTTTGTTTCCGATGCGATGAACCGATAAGGAGGATTATATCTGTTGTTGCCAAACACGAGCACATAATATTATTATTGAGACAGGGCGGTACTCAAAGTTCTAAAGGGCTATAACTTTGTTACTTTAATTTTACCAGAAAAATGTTATAGGAAAAAAACATTTCTTTTGATCAGATCTACTCACTGTTAAAATAAATGACTCAACTTCAAAGTATAATAGATATACTGCATGTGATATTTTTTGTGAAATGTAAGCCCCCTGGAAGGATCAACATTGACCACTTATATGTTTTGAGCCCATAGCTCGCTCTTCAATTGTCATATAATGGCATTCGCTCTTAGAAGAATTTAACTCTTGAAAACAATTTGAATTTTAGATGAGACTGTAGATTTAATGGAAATATAGACGTTTTAAGAATTTTGTTCGACAATTTTCTCGATAAGGCCTTAAAATAAGTGGAAACCTATAAAAAGCTTAGGCAAACCTTTGCAAACCACGAATAAAAACTAATCATACAATAAGCTATAGCTACAACTAACAATTTTCTCGCACCTTCACATGTATTAATTTTGCTCTAATATTGTGAACTGTTTTTAGTTTGTCTTCAGATGCAAAAAAAAACTTTTCTCGAGAGGTTTCAGAAAATATCGATGTTCTAGATAAAAGCTCAATTTCTGGGAAAATAAGGTGCATCGATTCCTAATACCATATTAATTTGGTACTGGGATCTATGGAAGACATTTTCTAGTTTCTACTCCAAACTCGACTCTATGTGGTTTTTTTGTTGGTCTAAATTATGCGGGTCCCACACGATGTTTCGTTCGACACCCCACAATTGGCAAGTGTATCTCCTAACACGATGGGATGAACTTTTTATTCTCGGACGTTCATTGCATGGTGGCGCCAACGTCTATTATCGGTGTCAGTGTCGCGCTTGAGACTTTACAACTGAAGGAAAATTATACAAAATGAACGATGAAACAATTTTTTCGAGCGCGAATAAAAAATTGAGATCTGTCTTCAGCGACTAAAACTTAAGTCTGTCAGAAGCCCCAGAAATGTCGAAAAACGAAGATTGACCGTTTTTTGTTTGTTTTTAGACTATAACTATGTCGCCACTGTACCGATTTTCAAAAACTGCAGGGCTTTTCCGTCAATTTTATAGTAGTAGCCTAGGGTCAATATATCATCAAAATCCTGATAGTACTTTCAGAGTTATCATTTATTTAATCGTTTTCGTTAGTTAGGAAATGCAAGTCAATATATCTCTCAACTAGTCCTGCATTGCAACAGGACATTATAATGAAACACCTGTAAGCACTTGATAATTTATAATATACTAAAATACATATTTTTAGGCCAGCCATAACTCACCTGTGAAATGTACAAAATATTAGCAATACGAAAAAAGTGTTGCTATGGCGGCCTATGCTTTTTATGTATACTAATTTAATTCATTCTCCTCAAAAGTTAGAAACGTAACATACATTATTATGAATAGGTAGGTATTCAAATCAAAATACTTCCCACAATCACAGCAAACAAGTAAATAAAACAAGAGCCTGAACGTGCCATGTGGCGAACGTTGGACACATGCAATTCGTCAGCGCTCTCCCACACGATGTGACGAATGGCCATGTGTGGGAGCATTCGCCACATCGTGTGGGAGCAGTTTTATTTGATGCTATGAGAGCAAGGGTGGCCTAATACCAAAATGATAGTTTTGAGAAAAACGCAATTTAAATTTTCGCTTTTTTTGTTTCACCCGAATGTATTCTCATTGTGACGCTACTGACGCCACTTTGTCAAGATCACGTGACCAGGGAATCGTTATGCCGACTTTGACATTGACAGATATCAAGGATAATGACAACACTGCATGTTTTTATGAATTTTGGTAAACCTAATATTTTTATCGTTTTTCCATCGTTTGTTTTGTATTTTACACAATTCAGAATGCATAAAATTAACTTTACAAGCACATAATCCAACATAATGGTAGAACTAGGCAATTCAAGCATCCTACATTTAGGAGACATCGTCTCCTTGTATGCTGAAGGGAACGTTAGTGGGTTTTTGAGTACACTTGGGTACGTTTTTGCACTTTAAAACCACATTTGTATAGGAAATTTCTTAACTGAATATCTTTCAGATTGGTTGATGATCGGTGCGTAGTATGTCCAGAAGCAGGAACCCTATCCAGTCCACCAAAAAAGTTCCGAGACTGTTTGTTCAAAATATGTCCTATGAATCGGTACTCTGCACAAAAACAATTTTGGAAAGCTGCGAAGCAAAGTATTGGCTCTACCACAGATACAGGACTTTTGAAAAGATTGCATGTAAGCAACTTTCTTCATTAGGATCTCCTTGCATTGAATTTTGAAGTATATTTGCCTCCCAAACTAAAGTAAGTGCAGAATATTGAAAGTAGGGTCACTTGGCGGTCAAATTAAATTTTTTTTCACTACGTCCATGCACCTGTCCTCCAAGTAGCTAAAGTGGCAGGTACTGCATGGTGGATCCCAAGACCCAACAATCTGTAAGTGCTGTCAATAGAGTTTTAGCAATAAAAATAATATGAGACCACTGCAGCTATGGAAATCAATATTCTGAGACGTTTTATCACTAGTTATAAGATCGATGCTTCGAGATCGCTTTTTAAAAAGTTTATTTTTCGAAAATACAAAACTCAAAACTGTACTTTTACAAAATTATTACAATGTTATTATGATGTTAACAGTACAAAGGCTTAAATCTGACTGACTGTAAAATGTGTTGAGAACAATAAAGTAAACTCTAGGTCTTCTAGGAAATTAGTAGCATCGTCGGCAGTATTCCTATCATATCAGCAGGAACGGCTGATATAACTCCTCCCCCCTGAGATTCAACTTCGGGGAAGAATTCTTCAAGGAAGTTGAATAGGATGAAGTTCGACTTCTGGTTGTTGAATACTTCTACTTCTGAGCTTCCTCCTCTTCAAAATGGTTTTCCAGAATGCGTAGACACCCAAGAGTAATATACATCCATATATTATTAGTGTCCAGGCACTGGGTATAAAAAATTCTGTAGGTTTTTTGAAGTTGGGTTTGTTGTTGATAATGCTTGACTTGATTTTACTTAACTCGTCTAGCTTAATTTTTTCTAGATGCAGACTGAAATTTGTTTCTGTGATGTCGCCTTTAGTGTCCAGGTTTAAATCCGGGAATATTATAGGTTGGCCCGCGACAATCGTTTCGGGTTCATTTTTAATGATTTGGTGATTAATTTCGGCTTGACAGTTGACAGGAATATAAAGTAGGTAAGTTCCCGTCAATCTTTTCATTTGCATTTCTTCGTGGCATTCCATTTTGATAACTTCTGGTAGTGGCAGGATCAATACCCATTGATTAGTCCGTTGGATTCGTTCGATACTTGGCTGATTGATTATCAGTGGAGTTCGGGCACATGCAGGGGCGTTTCTTCCATTGAATAGTTCAAGTTCACAGGGTAATGGACCATTAATGTCTCGCAAGATGGTCTTCTCGCAGAGAAACTTTTTAGGAATAATTTCAGTACAAATGTCGCCGAAAAGTGCAAAGTGCAATTCATTTTTTACCAAATAAGGCTCCTTTGGAATGATAGTCTTAAATTGACCTTCAAAATATATCGGGATTGGAAAGAGACGATATAAGTTAAATGACTCATGGTACGAGATTGGGAATGATAAAACGAATGTAATTTTGTTGCCCACAGAATAACTGGAGATTTTGATTATTTTTTCAAAAGTTGGTATGTTATCTAGTAAAACTGGAATCGCAAATTTTTCCTGGCCTAATCTTGAGCTCAATAGTTTCAGTTCACCAAAAATTTCTTCGGTTGTAATAATGCTAGAGTGAATTGTTCCAAGACGTGCAAAAATTATTGAATTTTCAACGTCTTGTAATATTGACAGAGTTACTTCGTAGCTGTTCATAATTTGAGATACTGTGTCTACTATGAATTTATGCTGATCTGAATCGATTGTAGTACGATGAACAATTGCATATATGGTATTAATTTTATTATTCAGCAATTGTTCATTATGACAGATTTGCTGAACAGTTTTATTGAACTTATCAATAAGAGATACTGACAGTGCATTATTCTGTGTGACACTGTTAGTCAATTCTCTTTGATTATTTTGAAGCTCTTGAATTAGATTTTCGAAACGTTCGCCATCATTGGCGTCAAGGTTTCCAGTTATTGATTTGAATATCGACCCAATGCCATTTAATATGCCTCTTTTTCCTCTCTTTGTATGGGGAAATATATTATGTAACTTTTGTTCTACCTGTCGCTGAACAAATTTTAATGTTCTGAAATAATTGGACAAATATGTAGTGACATTTAAATTTGAAGAAATGATTTCTGCTATACGTGAGGAGGAAATTGATAATTTTTCAATTTCAGAAATGATGGGATTCATATCATAATAATGAATGAGTGAAAAGTCATGGTCTTTCACTTTTGCTTCACCAATTTCCACGGGAATTAGTCCTGGATTGTTGTCGAGGTTACGTATAGTTATGCTATCCTGAAGTCCAACCGTTACTTGCAGGAATCTGCAAATGAATAATACCTACATGTATGTATGTCGTACTTGGAGAGAAACATTTAGTTGCTAAATGAATATGGTTTGCGAAGGGGACGCTTCAAATTATCGATATGTACTTTATTGTGTTTATCAGTAGTAGCGGTCTTTTTACCAGGATCGACTGATGTTAGTGTACATGATTTTTGGAATTTATTTGCATTTTTCTGACGTATGTTTTTCTTAACGAATGCTTTCTGACCTGGTTGAAATATTTTTGCACTATCTCGACCTATGTTTGCCTTTTCAATTACTTTTTCTTTATTTTGAACAAGCGCCTCGTTGATTTTGGTATATAATAGCTTACTGCGTGCTTTGTGTTGTTCTACATAATCATTCAACAAAATTTGGTCTAAGCTGATGTCAAATGTATCTTTTTCACTGAGATGACCATTTATGACATCGATGGGTTTTAATTTAGTCACAGAATGAACAGAGTTGTTGTATGCTAAGATTGCGTATATCATTTTCATTTGGACAGATGTTTTTTGAAAGCCTTGAGTGTTTAAAATTCGGAGTTGCTCAGATATTGTCGAATGAAATCTTTCGACTACGCCATTTGACTGGGGATGGTTCGGGGAACAGAAATGTATTTCGATTCCATGTAAACCTAATAACTCGGATATGACTGAGTTTTTAAACTCGGTGCCATTGTCAGTAATAACTTGTGTCGGGATTCCATGATGGGAAAAGTATCGGATAAGGTTGTCAGCTACTTCGGTACCCGTCATTGAATTGAGATGGTAAGCTTGAGCGTACTTTGAAAAACTATCGATAATGGTCAAAAATTTAGATTTTTCAAATGTGTATGTGTCCATGTGAATTATTTCAAATGGCTTCACAGCAGTGGGAGTGATATTCATTTGCGCTTTAACAGGGTGTCTCTCGTATTTGGCTTGTTGACAGATTTCGCAGTCATTTATGTATGACTGAACGGAACTTTTCAAATTTGGCCAATAGTACTTTTGTTTTAAGCGAGAATAGGTTTCATCGATCCCGCGATGATTTGATTTCCCTTCATGATAATTTTGTATTAAACTTTTAATTTCATCATTACTAGTGATGTCTAGAAGTTTTTCAAGACACCTTTTAAACTTGATAGAGGGCCATTTAAAATACTTTTGTAAAGCGCCTGAGAAGGGTTCGTATATGTCAGGATCTTCGAAATATATATAGTATGGGACATCGGGTACAATATATTCCTTGACAAAATTTACAACATCTGATTCAAGGTTGTTCTTTGAAATTTGCACTAATAGCCGCTGTTTTCTCTCGAATAAAATTATGATTTTCGGCTTGGCGGGAGAGTGCAGGACCGTTTTAATTACGATCTGATTTTGGCCAAAGTTCAATGGTTGGTCTGATATAGGAATTGTAACAACCGGGTGTTGATTATTAGAGTGCCGGGTTTCATCATCCTTGTCAAGTTCGTCTTCATTAGTATTGGTTTTGTCAATAACAAAAGGAAGTTCGTGGTAGTCAGTTTGTTCAGTTTCATTGATTATATCTTTGTCAGTATTTGTATTGTCAACGGTAGGAAGTTCCTGACAGTCAGGTTGATCTGTTTCATTGTCCAAGTTGACAATCATTGAGATATCGTCTAGTTCAGGGTTTAAATTGGGGTAGCTAATATCTTGAATTATCAGTGGTGAATTTGGATTAGCTTGTGTCGTGGGAGGTGTGTTTAAATTTTGATCTACAAAGGTAATTCTTTGATTCTGATAGTTGGAGGCTTCTCCAAGGAAGTCATCGAGTTGTTCCCAAAAATCGTTAGTTTCCTTAGTATGAATTTCGATTCTAGAAAGAGCGTCAGCATTTGTATTGAGTTTGCCTTTTTTATAGATGATTTTGAAATTATATTCGTCAAGTTTCATTTTCCATCTCATTAATTTTGAGGAGACGCCTTCCTTTAATGAATAAAGGTACTGGAGGGGTTTATGATCTGTTATAATATTGAAGGTCTGCCCATAGAGGTAAGGTCTGAAATATTTGGTAGCCCACACTATAGCTAACAACTCTTTTTCAGTAGTGCTGTAATTTCTTTCCGAATCATTTAAGGTTCGTGACGCATAAGCTACAGGCAAATCACTACCGATTGGACCCTGACTAAGAACTGCCCCTAAAGCTACATTGCTTGCGTCAGTTGTCAAATTGAACGGCCTTGTGAAGTCTGGGTACTGAAGTATTGGGTCGTTGGTAAGTAATGTCTTACAGTTTTCGAAACATGTAACAAATTCGTCGTCGTGAACAATTTTTGCGCCTTTTTTGAGGCACTTAGTGAGAGGTTTCGTGAGTTGAGCGAAATTTGGAATAAATCGCCGATAATAGCCTAAGAGTCCTAAAAAGCTTTTTATTTGCCTATTAGTTTTTGGTATAGGGAAATTTTGTATTGCTGAGATTTTGTCGGGGTTAGGTTTCACGCCTTCAGGAGTTACTATATGTCCGAGGTATGCAACCTCTTTTCTTAGAAACTCGGATTTATCTAACTGAATTTTAAAGTTAGATTCGCGTAGTCGGGTAAAGACAGATCGTAGCCTTTCTAAATGCTCTTGAAGAGACGTCGAAAATACGATAATGTCATCGAGGTAAACGAGACATTTTTCGTTTTGAATTCCTCGGAGGATGTTATCCATCACTCGTTGGAATGTGGCTGGTGAATTTTTAAGACCAAACGGCATTCTCAAAAATTCCCAATGGCCATTTTCGGTGTTAAATGCTGTTTTTTCAATGTCTTTCTCATCCATTTCTATTTGGTGAAAACCACTAGCAAGATCCAACGTACTGAAATAGTGGCATCTTCCTAGTTTGTCCAGTAGGTCGTTTATATTGGGAAGTGGATATTTGTCATCAATAGTCTTATCGTTAAGATTACGATAGTCTATTACGACGCGCCATTTCTGTTTGCCAGAGGCATCCATCTTCTTAGCCACAACCCAAATGGGCGAGCAATATGGCG